AATCGGCTTCACTTGAAGAAGAGATTTTACCAGTTCAAGATGAAGAGAGGGGTTTCCATCAGGGAGCATGTCAACAATTTCACTAAGCTACTTTCAGATATGGCCAATGTTGATATTATAGTTAAGGATGAAGACAAGGCGATGCTACTTCTGTGTTCGTTGCCCGAAGATGATTATGGTACGTTCGTTCTCACTATGATCAATGGAAGAACTACAGTTAGCTACAAGGAGGTGACCTCAGCTTTGGTGAACTATGAGTTGAGGAAGAGTGATGGTGAATCCTCCGAGAAGGCATCGGGAGATGCGTTAGCAGTTCGAGGCCGAGATCCAAACCGTCGTCAGTTCAACCGCTCAAAGTCAAAGAATAGGAGTGCCTATAAGAGTGTTGGTAGAAATCAATGTCGGTATTGTAAAGAAGAAGGACATTGGAAGATTGACTGCCCAAAGTGGAAAGAAAAAGCCGGAAAGAATAAGGGGAAAGCTGCACAAGCTTCAGAAGTGAATGTTGCAAAAGCTATTGGTGAGCATTCAGATTCAGATTCTTCAGGCTATTCATGCCCTGCTTTACCGTCGGTTTGCTATGCGGATTCCACGGAGTGGATGATGGATTCGGGAGCTACATATCACATCTGCCCTAAGAGGGAGTGGTTTTCTAGCTTTGAGGAGCTGGAAAGAGGGGATGTCGTGCTTATGGGTAATGATCACGTATGCCCTATTGGTGGTATTGGTTCAGTCCGGATCAGGATGCATGATGGTGTAGTGAGGGAATTGAAGGAAGTGAGGTTCGTGCCGCAGTTGACGAAGAACATCATTTCTCTTGGGACTTTGGAGGCAGCAGGATATCGAGTGATCTTAGAGGATGCTACAGTGAAGGTCACGAAGGGTTCTATGGTGGTGATGCGAGGTGTCAGGGAAAACTACCTATACTACTTGAAGGGCAAGACAGTTACAGGGGGTCTGGCAGCTTCTATCACTACAGAGGAGGACACTACCACCTTATGGCACATGAGACTTGGACACACAGGAGATAAGTCCCTACAGTCATTGGCTAAACAGGGGCTATTGAAAGGTGCTAAGACCTGCAAGATGGAATTGTGTGAGCATTGTGTACTTGGGAAGAAGACTAGAGTGAAGTTCGGCACCGCTGTTCATAACACCCAAGGTACATTGGATTATATTCACACGGACGTTTGGGGTCCTTCCAAGAACACATCTCTTGGTGGGGCCAACTATTTTGTCACTTTCATTGATGATTATTCCAGGAGGAATTGGGTATACCCGATGAAGCATAAACATCAGGTCCTGGATATTTTTGTGGAGTGGAAAAAGAAAGTGGAGCTGCAGACAGGTAGAAAGGTGAAGACTCTACGTTCAGATAACGGTGGAGAGTACAAGAGTGATCCGTTTCTGCAGTTTTGCCGGGATCACGGCATTAGAAGACACTTCACAGTTCGAGAGACACCGCAACAGAACGGGGTGGCTGAGAGATTGAACCGTACCTTGCTGGAGAAGGTGCGGTGTATGATGACGCAGAGTGGATTGCCTAGATCTTTTTGGGCCGAGGCGTTGGTTTATGCGAGCCATCTTGTGAACAGGTTGCCGTGCACTGCGATAGACGGGAAGACTCCTTTGGAGCGTTGGTTTGGTTCGGAGGCTAGTGACTATGAGTCGCTTCGGATATTCGGGTGTCCAGCTTATTATCATGTCAGTGATGGTAAATTAAATCCGAGAGCGAGGAAAGCAGTCTTTGTGGGATTTAGAGATGGAGTCAAAGGCTTCAAGTTATGGGATCCACAGGACAAGAAGATAGTTATTAGCAGAGATGTCACATTTGACGAGGCGTACATGATGAGGCCTCGAACCCCTCAGCAGGTGGAGGGAGACCAGACAGGAGAGATATCGCAGCAGGTGGAGGATGATGTGACTCCACCCACTCCAGAGAACACTGTATCCATTGAGGCTCCTACAGAGGTGACACTGGGAGGAGATGAGATGACAGATGGGCAGATACAGGATACAGTAGATCATGGGACTCAGGAACAGGGTCATGTTCAGAGGACCATTGCAGCAGATAGACCGAGGAGAGAGATTCGTCGGCCAGCTAGGTATAATGATGTCATGGTCGCATATGCATTATCAGTGGAGGTCGTTGATGATATGGTTCCAGCCACATTCAGGGAGGCAGAGTCTAGCCCCGATTCGATCAGGTGGAGGGAAGCTATGGAGGAGGAGATGCGGTCTCTTCAGAAGAACGACACTTGGACACTTGCACATCTACCTAAGGGTAAGAAAGCTATTGGTTGCAAGTGGGTATATGCGAAGAAGGAGGGATCTTCTATTGGGGACATTCGGTTCAAAGCCAGATTAGTTGCCAAGGGATATGCACAGCTTGAGGGCATTGATTACAACGAGGTATTTTCACCCGTTGTGAAGCATTCGTCGATTCGGATTTTATTGGCGTTGGTGGCACAGTTGGATTTGGATTTGGTCCAGATGGATGTGAAGACAGCCTTTCTACACGGTGATTTAGATGAGGAGATCTACATGACACAACCACAGGGTTTCAAAGCTGCAGGAAAGGAAAATTTGGTTTGTAAGCTGAAGAAGTCTCTTTATGGTTTGAAGCAGTCACCAAGACAGTGGTATAAGAGATTCGACGGCTTTATGATTGGCCGAGGGTACACAAGGAGCCCATATGACCCATGTGTTTATATGCACAAGCTACAGGATGGTGAGCTCATATATTTGCTTTTATATGTTGATGATATGCTTATTGCTTCCAGGAATTCTTCGGCTATTCGAAAGCTGAAAGAGGAGTTATCATCCGAGTTTGAGATGAAGGATCTTGGAGAGGCAAAGAAGATATTGGGTATGGAGATCGAGCGAGACAGGGTGAAGGGGAAATTGAAGCTTACACAGAAGAGCTACTTGCAGAAGATGTTGAAGAAATTCAGCTTTGATGGCAATGCAAAAGCAGTTAGCACACCATTGGCTCCCCACTTCAAGCTTTCAGCGTTGATGTCACCTGTTTCAGTTGAGGACAGAGATTATATGTCGAAGGTCCCATATGCTAGTGCAGTAGGTAGCTTGATGTATGCGATGGTGTGTACGAGGCCAGATTTGTCACAGGCCGTGAGCATGGTATCGAGATACATGCATGACCCCGGGAAGGGTCACTGGGAGGCCGTGAAGTGGATTCTACGGTATGTTCGAGGCACCGTGGATGTTGGTTTAGTGTTTCAGAAGGATGAGAAGGACGGGCAGGCTTGTATTGGTTATGTGGATTCAGATTATGCTGGAGATCTTGACAAACGCCGGTCTACGTCAGGTTATGCTTTTACATTGGCAGGTGCACCTGTATGTTGGCGTTGCACGCTTCAGTCCACAGTGGCTCTCTCTACTACAGAGGCAGAGTATATGGCAGTTACTGAAGCTATTAAGGAGGCTTTATGGTTGCGTGGATTATTGGAGGACTTGGGGATTGCACAGGAGACTATTCGGATATATTGTGATAGTATGTCGGCTATCTATTTGGCGAAGAACCAGGTTTATCATGCGCGCACGAAGCACATCGACGTCAGATTCCACTTTGTACGGGACGTCTTGGATGAAACATTCGCCGAGGTGGAGAATAGAAGAAATTACAGAAACTCAGAAGAATCAGTCAAACCAGGCGGCGGTCGACCGCATTCGTGCACAAGGCTTCCTGTGCGTCTGGTAGGAGGTCGGTCGACCGGCCCGGTCGACCGCAGATGATTCGGTCGACTGGTGCGGTCGACCGACGGTTCTCTGGATTTTTGGGGCTTCTGCTGGATGGTGATCGGTCGACCGGGCCGGTCGACCGGAATTGATCGCGGTCGACCGGTCCGGTCGACCGACGAAGCGGATATCAGTTTTTCTGGTTTTCGACCCGGTTCGTTTTGTAAGTTCTATATATACCTAAACCTGTTTGTTTAGGGTAGAGGTTGGACGAATTTGAGCAGCCAAAGAGAGAGAATCATTGCATCCAATTGGGAGAGAGTTTTGAGAGATCTAGAGCTTTGTTTTAGGGTTTGGTCTGAGAGATTTGTAACCCTATTTGTATTCTCTTGATTTCTAGTAGAAAGAACTCCCCCCTCCTTGCCCCGTGGACGTAGGCAACTTGCCGAACCACGTAAATTGTGTGTTCTTGCTGTGATTGTGGTTTGCATATTGTTTGTGGTTTAGTTCGAGTTATTGTTCGTGTTGCACTAGAAAGCTTCCGCCGCGCACAACAGCAACCTATTACATTTACGTCTTCTATACTAATATTAGGCTGTTAAAAAGGCTTAAAGCCGATGCTACATAAACACTCATACATAGCACCCCTCCATCAAAGGCTTTTTGGTCGGAAGAAGGATTTCACCATAAAAATCTAAGCAGACGCGCCCCCCCTCCTCCACAATTCATGTGCGGTAGCCGAACATAACTAAATCAAACCCCGAAACAGCGGCAGCTGGGCATCAATTACAAAGTTTGGCCGCTATATCCTCTCTAAACTTTTAGGGCGCTCTTTACTCAAACTTTTGGCCTTTTTTCCCTCTTCACCAAGCCTAGCTAGCTACTTATTTGCCTCTCTCATGCTTAAAGAACCCCAAACCGTTCAGATCATATGACCCACAACCTCCCAAACCTTACCCTTCTTTTTACGGAATTGAGGCCCCCATGGGATTTTGGCCCATATGCCCACCGCAGTGAAGCACAACAAAACGCGTTACCTCCTCTTCTCCACATTCCCTGCCCTTTTATTCTTCTGTTGAATATATATCTTCCTGTCTGCGGTAACGTATCTCTCTATGTTTTATTTGACCGCGCACTTACCTCCTTACCCTCTACCAAATATTTAGACTTTCCGTATCAAATTTCTTATCACCTAAACTAATGCACTCCTGTGTCCAGGAATCAACAACAAAGAGAAGTATTTCATTCCACCCCACTATCTCGTCAAAATCTTCGGTTCAGTCGCGCACTCTAACGGCACAATGGGCAACTGTGCGTTCAAAGGCAATGCCGAGACCTCCGCTGCTCGTCGCTCAGAGATAATCAGAGTAGCAACTCACAACGGCGGAGTGATGGAGCTCTACCCTCCGGTCACGGCCGAGTGCATCACCAACGGATTCCCCGGGCATGGAGTTTACCGCAGCCACGAAAAATTCACAAGGCCGCTACTGCACAACGAGGAGCTCGCGGCCGGGGAGCTATACTATCTGCGACCCGTCAACAGCGCAGTTCCATCGACGACCGACGTCGCTCCTTACCGGGTTTCGTTCGATCAGCATAGGTTGTGGAGGAGGAACGAGGAGGAGGCTTCGGAAGACGGGGTGAAATGTGCAAATAGAATTGGAATGTGGAAGGTGAAGCTTGTGATTAGTCCGGCGCAGCTGGC